GCTAAAGAAAACGGGTACTATATTTAGAAGACCATCCATAAGAATCACATCTGACATCAGAATCAGTAGAGTCCACAAGACAGTGGAACGACTTCTTTAGAAAGATTTCAACAACAGCAAAACTGCCAGCCCTGGGGTGGGCAGTTGGCCCAGCAGTTGGGATGCCCACATCTCATGTTGGAGTGTCTGCGTCTGAGTCCATGCTCCACTCCTGATCCTAGCCCCTGTTAATGAGCACCCTGTAGGAGAGCTCAAGCACTTGGGTTCTTGCCACCCATATGAGGGTCCTGGATTGAGCTCCCCACTCCCAGCTTTTGCTCCAAGAGGGGGCCATTTCAGGCATTTGAGGAGTGAACCAGAGGATGGGAGAGCTCTCTCTCTCTTTCTCTCTCAAATAACTAAATAAACATTAAGAAATAAAAGGTGGAGGGAGAATTATAACTCATACAGTATTTATGTTTTAAAATTGTAAAATACCAGTTCAGTATGAATGATAATAAGTTATAAGTCTCTGGTACCCATTAAAATATAACACAAGTTATAGCTAAAAGCACAATGGAAGAAAAACGGAATAATAAATTTTTTCCTGTGTTTTTTCAATGCCAGTTTGAATTTATGGTAAGTACCATATGTGATATTGCTCTTCCAGATGAAAGCTGCTACAAAAAGCTCCTTTTGTAGCAAGATTGCATTCTGTTTTTCATATAACATTTTACTGGTATTTTTTGGAATAAAAAAAAATACAGACAGCTGAGGAAGCCTAAGCCTTATTTTCTCCTTATATGGTGATGTCAGGAACTGCGGATTGAAACTCAACAAATTGCTGGGTGGGCCTGAGGACCCGCATATGTAATGTTTTGAGAGTGGAAGGTCATGGTGGAAGGTCCATCTTGGGGCAAAGGAGAAATATTTGGACTCTTAGCTAAAAAAATGAGAGCTCTTCCAAGTGCGCATTTCCAGAAAAAATGCTGACTTCTTTGCCAAAAAAAAAAGAAAAAAGGCTGATCACTGCAGCTCAGGGATGCCTTGTGTGGATGTCACAGATGAGCAAGTGTGTCACTCAGCAGCTTGTGACCAGGATTTCCGCTGTCCCCAGCAGAGTTTTATGAAGATTTCGTCTTTGAGATCCTATTAACATTCCCTTCGCATGAGGAAGAAACTGTGCCATAACTGAAATTATCATTGTTAACCCCAAATGTATCGTTCCTTCTTGTTGTACTCTACAGTTCCCTCATTCCTAAATTCTCAACAACTTTAAATATTGTCAGTACTTGGGTATATCTTCATGTTTGCTTTATCCATTGATTCAAGAGGCAGAGATAAGAGGGAACAAGAGACAGAGGGACAAAGAGAGCTCCTACCTGCTGTTTCACTCCACAAACACCTGTGACAATTTGGACTGGGCCAGGGCCAAAGATAGGAGCTAGGAAATCAATCCAGGTCTCTCACGTGGGTAGCAGATTTCCAGTTACTTGAGCCATCACTGCTGCTTCGAAGGATCTACATTGGCAGGAAGCTGTAGTCAAGAGCCAGAGCTGAGAATCAAACCCAGCACCCTGATGTGGGATTGCGGGCATCTTATCTTAACCACTAGGCCAGACTCCTGCTCTTGTTGAAATGTTGAGCTAGATTATACAACTCCATGCAGCCATTGTTGTGGCATCACTATATTGTTGTGGAAAAAATGGCAATGACATGTTTGAGTTAGGAAGACAAGGCAATTTGTGGAACAATGTTGATGGAATGCATATGGGAGGAGACCCTCCATTGATACTATTATATATTATTTAAATGTTCATACTTACAATAAAGGAAATTATGATTTTAAAGACTTGACCCATGTCTGCTGTGAAGACTGGAATTTTTGGTGGCAGGCTTTGTGGTGCATCAGATTAAGCAGCTGCTTAGAACACAAGCAGCCCATATCAGACTGCTGGTTTGAGTCCTGGCTACTCCACTTCAAATCTAGCTTCCTGATAATGTTCCTGGGAAGGCAGAGGATATTAGCACAAGTGGTTTCTTTTTTAAAAAGATTTATTTATTCATTTATTTGAAAGAGTTACACAGAGAGAGAGGAGAGGCAGAGAGAGAGAGAGGTCTTCCATCCACTGGTTCACTCCCCAGATGGCTGCAACAGCTGGAGCTGTGACAATCTGAAGCCAGGAGCCAGAGCTTCCTCCAGGTCTCCCACGCGGGTGCAGGGGTCCAAGGAGTTGGGCCATCTTCTACTGCTTTCCCAGGCCACAGCATAGTGGTGCAGCCAGGTCTCGAACCGGCGCCCATATGGGATGCCAGCACTTCAGTCCAGGGTGTTAACCCACTGCACCACAGCGCCTGCCCCTAGCACAAGTGTTTGAGGCCCTGCCTCCAGTGTGGCAGACCCAGATGGATTTCCAGCATCCTGACTGGGGCCTGCCCCAGCCCCAGGTGTTGTGAGCATTTGGGAGTGAACCAGCACATGGAAGATATTCTCTCTCTCTGTCTTTCAAATAAATGAATATATACATAAATAAGTAAATCTTTAAAAGAAAACAGTAAGTTTTTTACACATCAGACATATTCACTTTTTAAAAAGAAAGTAACCTCAAAATTTTTTGCACCAAAATGAATTTATATTTCCATTTTCCATGAACCTTTTGATTTACCTTCATGTATACTCATATTTTATGAATTTGTTAGCACTTTCAGTATTAGCTAAAGGAAAAAATTATTAAAAGCTTAAAAATAATAATGAGCCATAACTGTCTTGATATCTTATTGCTTTCAAATCGGTTTCAGCTACTAGAATGTGTCTGTTTTATCAAACTATAAAGAAATCATTGAAACACTCTTTATCACTCAATTATCAAAGCTGCCTAACATTCTTTTTATCACACAGCACATAAGGAAATAAAGAGAATAATTTATATTTTCCTGAAACACTTTGATTTAAAAAATAAGTTGACCATCTTGCTGTCTTGTAGATGTTCAGAACTTCTTACAGTCAGGTACTATGACAAGATCAATAATAAAATTCTAGAAATTTCTATGACAGGTGGTTTAGAAATTTAGAAGGATTTTTAGAGGAATAGGGAATCTGAGCAGAAAGATTTTAGTCTTGTTTATGGAAACATTATTTTCCCTTTCTTTTTGTACTCCTGTGTGTACTAGTGTGTTTCCCATGAGCTGTCGGCCATGGTTACATTTTATATCTGCGGATCTAGATTAATTGTCCTAAGTGAGTCATGGCAGTTGGACCTCCCTGTGCCGGTGCTCTGGTTACCTCTTCCCAGTTCTTGTTTGTGGTGAATCTGCTCTGACTGCACATCCATTAGAGGTAACCTCAGCCTTTGGTTCCAGCCCACCTGAACCCAAGAAGAAGGGAAGCTCCAAGGAAGTTCTTTGCAGACTCACACCAAATTTGAAAATTAAAAAAGAAAAAAGCAAGAACAGACAGAAGGCTTTGCTGTATAAAGCAATCCAATCTTAATGGCTGAGGACCAAAGTGTTTCAGTGCATCAAACATCACATTCCAAAGAAATGTAATATTTGTGACTCATATATCATGGAAGCCTTGTATTTGATTTTATTTTTGTCAATCACCAAAATCTCTCAAAATCTCAATATTTGGCATCTGTCTACCCTGCTGTGTGTCTTGCTGTTTGAAACAGACATCTGTTGCATACTTCTGTGTTGTGAAGGTTTCACAAGTGCTTGTTCGCTTGGTGTTGGCAGCAGACCCAGGAAGAGAGGGCCCCACGAGTAGCTGCAGGCTTTGCCCTGGCTGCTTGTGTCCTGTACTGGTGGTGGCACTCTTAGGGAATGAGTTCCCTCAGGGGCTAAGCTGCCCTCCTCTATGGCCAGAACCTCCCTTGGTGGCAATCTGCTTCTCCCCTAGCTGACCACGGCAGGCTGCCCCCGGTCATTGTTCCGCTCCCCCATCCTCGTATAGAGTTTTCACTTAACGTTACAGAACATTTCACTATCTCATCATCAAGTAACTTTAAACATTTTATGTTTTGTATTTCAGAAAATTGTACAAATAAATGTAACATTAAATTTATCACCTTAACCATTTTTAAGTGGTATCCACATTCATAGTATTGTGCAACTGTCCCTACCATCCACCTCCAGACTTCTTCTCACTGTCAAAACTGAAACCATACCCATGAAACGGTTAACCCCCCGTTCACCCTCCCCCCAGCTCCTGGCCACCACCAGGCTACTTTGCCTTTCTATGAATTTGACTTCTCCAGATACCTCATCTAAGTGGAGTGACAGGTTTGTGATTTTGTGAATGACTTATTTCCACTTGGCATAAAGCCCTCAATTTTATCCATATGGTAGCATGTATTGGACTTTCCTTTCTTTTGAAGAATGAATAAGTATCCCATTGCACGTACATATCACAGTTTGCCTATCCATGTGTTTGTTGATGGACACCTGGTTGCTTCCACCTTTTGACTGTTGTGAATAATTGTCATAGATATGCAAGAAAATCTGCAAGATTTTGCTTTCAATTCTTCTGGGAATGTACCCAGAATTGGCATTGCCAAATCAAGTCATAATTCCATATTTAATTTTTTGAGGAATTGCCATATTTTCCATAGAGTGTGCCATTTTACACCTCCACCAATAGTTTCTCTACCTACATCCTCAATACTTGTTATTTTTTATTTCCTTTTTACATTGAGTACCCTAATGGGGGAAACTACCCTTCTGTGTTGTTGTCTGAGATGCTTTACTGGAGCAAGCTTTGACTATGCATGTTTTAATACATACGTTTAATTTCTCATTTTATGAGTGTGTGAAAATTAGAAAACAGATTTTCACGTGAATTCCTGGGTGGCCCCTCATTATGAAGCGTAGAGAATAAAAAGGAAAATCTGCCAATGAACAGAGACTATTCCCAGGAATCCCATTCCACCACACTAACTCCATTTCTCCCTTGGTGTTAAACTGAAACTTAACTTTGTGACTGTGTAACCAAATCTCACTCACCTGTATTATTCTTTCCTTAGAAAATCCATTCCTCGCTGCCGAAGAATTAACAGGATGCTCTCCAATGAATCCCTACATTGCCCTGCGTTCAGTCGCTCCAACTCGCAAGCCTCCGTAGACAGCGCCTCCATGGAGGATTTCTGGCGGGAAATAGAAAGTATCAAAGAGAACAGCCTGGGAGGGCAGGAGGAGCAGCCGCCAGCCGAGGTCAAGCCTGTGGATGGTATGGGTTAGATGTGTTTTCCTGCTGTGCTCTTGCTGCGCTCTCTTGTTCTGTTGCCAAGCACAGGTCATCCCACCATGAGTTTAACCTGCAACTTTGTAGAGGTAGGCTATCAGTGACCCTACTGCCTTGGATTTCTATCCACTGGGCTGGCTCAGAATGGCTTTTATCAATGACGACTTGACTTGAAGGTGGGCTAGACCTTGACACAATTCAAATTGATCCCTTGCACATCACTACTTAGGGATGGTGTACCTGCCCATTGATTTGATTTGCTATCATTAAGTAGACAGTATTCTAACTTTGGTGACTTTTACATGTGTGTATTAGATTGATTAGAGAGAATCATCGTGATATGCCTATCATTGACACTATCAGACAATCCTCAGATCACATTCAAGTTCTGTTAATCATTTCTATATTAACTTATGTTTTTATTATTTATTATCTGAAAGAGTGACAGAGAGGGACTGGCACTGTGGCATAGTAGGCTAAGCCTCTGCCTGAGGTGCTGGCATCCCATATGGACACAAGTTCGAATCCTGGCTGCTCCTCCTCTGATTGAGCTCTCCTCTATGGCCTGGGAAAGCAGTGGAAGATGGCCCAAGTGCTTGGGCTTCTGCACCTGCATGGGAGGCCCAAAAGAAGCTCCAGGCTCCTGGCTTCAGATCAGCCCAGTCCCAGCCATTGCAGCCATTTGTGGAGTGAACCAGTGGATGGAAGACCTTTCTCTATGTCCTTCCTTCTCTCTCTCTGTAACTCTACCTCTCAAATAAATAAACAAAATCTTAAAAAAAAAAAAAAAAAAGAAGAATTAATGACACAGAGAGAGAGAGAGAAAGAACTTTTATCTATTGGTTCAGTCCCCAGCTGCACGCAATGGCTGGTGCTGGGCCATTCTGAAGCCAGGAGCCAAAAGCTTCATCTGGGCCTCCCAAGTGGGTAACAGGGGCCCAAGTACTTGGACCATCTTTTGCTGCTTTTCCCAGATCAATAGTAGGGAGCTAGATTGGAAATGGAGCAGCCAGGACATGAATCAGCAACCACGTTGGGATGCCCGCATCATAGGCAGCAGTTTTATCTGCTGTGCCACAACACCAGCCTCTGTATTGACTTCTATGACTGAAAAAAAAAAAAAAAAACCTCTATTTTAGAGTTGCTTGTTGCATTTACATTATGGGACTGTTTTTTTACAGTCCCTTTTTCCTTTACAGTCTGGTCAGTCTTGTAGCCTTTCCTTGGTTTTATGACCTGGACACTTTTGAAGTTGACAGTTCATTTTTCAGAATATTCCTGCTGTGAAGTTGTCTATGTTTCCTGGTGGTTCAGATGTGGGCTATGCAGCTTTGGCGAGTCATGATGTTCTATTCTTCTTGTTCTATCCTTTGACAGATGCACAGTTTTGATTTGTCTCATTACTCATGATGTTCACTTTAATCTCTTAAGATAATATATGCAAGATCTCTCAAATGTGGTTATTATTTTCCATTTTATAATTATTAATTACTTTCTTGTGAGATACTTTCAAGCTATGTAAATATCCGATTCAACATCACATCATCTCTTTATATAAGAATGTGCTACTAGTTTATTTAGTGGGTTTATATTTTACTATAATTTGATTATTTTTATTTGAAAATCAAAGAGACAGACAGAACTCACACCTGATGGTTGACTGCCCAACTGCCTGCAGTGGCTGGGGCTGGGCCAGGCCAAAGCTAGGGACTAGGAACCTAATCTGCATTTCCCGTGTAGGGGAATCATTTGCGCTATTACCGCTGCCTCCTGGGGTCCACATTAGCAGGAAGCTGTAATTGGAAGTCAGGACTCAAACCAGACATTCAAATATAGGATTAAATGAAGTCAGGACTCAAACCAGACATTCAAATATAGGATTAACATGTGTCCTAACCACTAGGCCAAATGACTGGCCTTTATAAATTATCTTATTTTTAAAGATTTAGTTATCAGAGCTGGCAATGTGGTGTAGCAGGTAAAGCCACCACCTGTGATACCAGCATCCCATATGAACACCCTTTTGTGTTCTGGCAGCTCCACTTCCAATCCCACTCTCTGCTACTGTGCCTGGGAAAGCAGTAAAGGATGGCCCAAGTGCTTGGCCCTTGCACCCACAGGGGAGACCTGAAGAGGCTTCTAGCTCCTAACTCTAGCCTGGCCCAGTCCTGATCATTGCAACCATTTGGCGAGTGCACCAGCAAATGGAAGACCTCTCTTTGTATCTCCCTCTCTCTCTCTCTGTAACCCTTTCAAATAAATAATTAATCTTTAAAATTTTACTTATTTATATATTTGAAAGGCAGTATGACAGAGAGGGCGTGAGATCTTCCATCCACTGGTTCACTCTCCAAATGGCTACAACAGCCTGGGCTGGGCCAGGTTGAAGCCAGGAGCAGGAACTTTATCAGGGTCTCTCATGTGGGTGGAAGGAGCCCAAGTAGTTGGGCCATCATATTCTGCTTTCCAGGCACATTAGCAAGTAGTTGGATCAGAAACGGAGTAGCCAGGAGTTGAACTGGTGCTCTGATAGTGAATGAGGGCATATTTGATCCATCCCCCTAGAGGCCCCCAAGTTTACTTGTCCTCTCTTGGTTTCTCTTCCCCTTGCACTTGGATCCAACATTCCAGTTCAGAGTACCTCTCTGCATAGAAGGCTGTCTTCCTGTGCCCCAACTAGTGGTTTTAGGCTTCAGGACTGAAATTTGGGGATGAGGAAGTAGCTGCATACCTTTTAAAATATTAGTATCCACACATTTAACATTTCCACTCCTTATTAGTATCCACACATTTAACATTTCCACTCCTTCTCTTTTATACACCCAAGTTTCTGTCTGATCATCTTTCCCTTTAAACCACAGAGCTTCCTGCAGCAGATCTTACAGAGCAAGTGTGCTAGGGATGAATTCTGGCCATTGGTATTCATCTGGTAATGACTATATTTCACCTTCATTCTTGGAGGATATTTGTTGCTGGCTATGTAATTGTGGATTCACAGGTTTTTTGTTTTTCTTTCAGTATTTTCAAGATGTCATTCTGTTGTCTTCTGCCTTACATTGTTTGATGAGGAGTCGATGCATTCGCATTGTTGTTCCCCATATGTAATGAATTGTTTTGCTCTGACTACTTCCAGAATTTTCGTTTCACCTTTGATTTTCAGCAGATTCACTTTAAGGTTACTTACTGTGGTTTCTTTTGTATACAACCTTCCTACTTGGTTCTTCAGACATTCTTTCTTCAAAAACTTTTTTTTTCCAGCATTCACTCATCTCTCTCTGTTAAAACTACTGTTCCATGCATATTACACAACTTAGCATTGTCCCATAGGTCATTGGGGTTCTATTTTAAATATTTAAAAAATATTTTTCTCCGTATCTTTCAGACTGGATAATTTCTTTGAACTATTTTCAAGTTCACTGACCTTTCTTTTAAAGCCTCTAATATGCTATTAAGCCCATTGCAGCTAATTTTTAAATTTAATGTATTTTAGTTTCTAGTTCTAGAATTTACATTGTAATTCCTTTTTATGCTTTTCATTTACATTTATTTGTTGAGATTTTTTTTGTCTGTTCACTCATATTGAGCATCTGTTCCTTTATATTCTTGAGCATAGATATAATAGCTACTTTAAAGTCCTTGCCCTGCACCAAAGTCATTTCAGAGTCACTTTCTACTGACTACTTTTTCTCTTGATAAGTTGCTCTCTCTCGCTTTCTCTCTCTCTCTCTCTTTCCTCCCTCTCCCTCTTCCTCTCTCCTTCTTTGGGTTCAGCTTATCATTATTTAATAAACACAGCTTAACCAGTTTTTATACAGTATTTACAGTATATAGGTGTTATCAGTACTCTGGAGATAAGCTAAAGTATACACAAGAATATGCACGGTTATCTACAAAGATTGTCCCACTTTATCAGAAAAGACTTGAGTATCCATGAATTTTGGTCCCCGCCAGGTCCCTGGAGCCAATCCCCATACAAACACCAAGAGACAACTGTACTCTGTCATCTTGCTCTAAAGGGAGTTCATCTTCAGTCTAGCAATTCACCTGATGACTCATACTCCCAACATCTTCCTTGCTATATGCACCATCTGTGATTTTGATATGTTATTTCATCCCTCAACCGTTATTTTTCAGTGGGATGCTTGGAGTGTCCCACACACCTTGCTAGTTCAAGGTTTTGTCAAGAATTTGGCCAGAGTTTATGTATAGATGTTAGAACTATCTCCTGTGTGGCACCCTGGGGAGCCACACTTCTGGAAACCCTCTGACTTTGCAAATAAATAGAACGTTTGAGCTCTTGTCATCTCCTACCATACCTAATAGAGAGTGACCTTAATGGAGACGTGATGTACATGTGGATCTCATCCAGCATTTTTTTTTATAATTATTTCAGTTCCTACATGCACTTAGTTCTTCTCCAGTATCTTCAAATAGTAGTTATTTTATGTATTTTGTTCAGAGTTCATAACCATTATAGAGAGGACTGTTATTTTGATGCAAGCTATTTCATCTGTACTGGAAGATTTTATTTCCTTTTTATCTCTTTCCCCTACAGATTTACTAAGCTGGTAGACTTTCACACGGAATGAAATATATGATAGTCAAGCTTATTTTTTAAAGTTTATGTTTTTTCATCACATAGTATTAATTAGCTGCTCCTTTCTAAAAAGCATTCTTTTTTGTTTGAAAGGCAGAGTGAGAGAGGGAGAAACAGAGATATCTTCCATCTGGTCCATTCCCCCAAACGGCTGCAATACACAGGGCTGAGCTAGCAGAAGTCCGGAGGCTGGAACTCCATCCAGGTCTCCCATGTGGGTGGTAGGGACCCAAGTACTTGGACTGTCTTCTTCTGCCTTCCCAGGCCTATTAGCAGGGAGATGGAATGAAAGCAGGGCAACTGGGACCCCAACCAGCACCCTGATACGGGATGCCAGCACCATAAGCAGTGGCTTAACCCACTGCTGGCCCCTAAAAGTTTCTGTTTCAGAGTCATCATTTCCTACTTATTTGAATAATTTCTTTAATTGTATTTTTCAGAGAAAATGTGTTAGTTAATTAGTTCTGCAAGTGCCAGACCCTTGTGATGTGTTGGTGTTCAGTTACAAGGAAAAGCAGAAAGGTTTCCTTTCCTCATGGAGTTAATCTTGTAGAAAAGAAAGTAATTAGTGGTGTAATATAATAGATAGATTGCAGGAATTATTTGAAGGGAAAAGAAACGCAGCAGTATTGTGATTGGTAGCAGTAGGTCATGGTCTTGTCTAATAGATGTGGGGGAAAAAGACTTAGTTGAGGAAGAGATGCCTAAACTGAGATCTGAAAAACTGAGTGGGCCAATAATAGTGGGGTCAGAAAGGACTGGCGTGTCCAAAGGCCTTTGTGATAAGGTGAGCATGGAGTGCTTGAGGAGTTGAAAGTAGGCCAGTATCACTGGGGAACAGAGGGTGAGTGTATCTAGAAATTCAAGCTGCTTCATAGCTTATAGACCATGATGAAGTTTTATTCTTAATCCTAAAAGGCAAGGCGAATTGGAATATTAATTGCAAAAGGCCCATGGGTTTAACATTTTATTTTATTTAAGGCTTCATTTTGTTACCATCTGGAAACTGGGTCCTTAGGGGATCAAGTGTGGATGCAGGAAAAAAGTGTTTAAGTCTGTTGCAGCAGTTGGGTGAGGGATGTTGGTAGCTTTGACCAGGGCCATAGTGGAAGAGATAAAGAAAGGTGGGTGGTTTTGAGAAATAATAAGCAGATGTTATCCATAGTTCCTGGCAATGTGTTGGAGTTGATGCATGAAAATGAGGGAGATGTCAAAATTGTCTCCTGGGTTGTTTGCTTGCCATATTACTTGGATAGTGGTTTTTGTTTATTGAAATGTGGACTACTAATGAGGTCTGGAGTTGAGAATGAAGAATGCAAGTTCAGGTCTGAACTTACTGAAAGTGACATATGACTGAGAACCAAGTAATACTGAGTATGCAGTTAGATATGTGAGACTGAAATGCCAAGGGTATTCTGTATTGAACTTACATATTAGGCAGTTGGAGTAATGGGCGTTGGATTGCATTGTACTTAATTCAACAAGCAGTGGTAACACTTAAATGTGCCAGAGATGTTTTCTAGCTGTGGAAAACATATCTTCTGCGTGCTGCAGTCTGAGTCCAAGGATTTAAATAATCCTCATCCTAGTTTATATTAACTCTGGCCCTACCAATTTCTCCTTCCTTTAATTTTCATTACTCTTTACAGAGGTGGAGGGAAGAAAATTCCAGATCATAAGCTATATTTATAAATGCTGTCTTCAGAAATAAAAATCTTAAGTGAAGCTTAAGTGAAGGAGGACTTCCAAGGTGTAAATCAATAATTTAAAAGGCTCATTGTTTTAGAGGAAGACTGCTCATCGTAAATTCACCTTTACATTTTCTGTTAAAAGGATGGCTTACAAAGCAAATGCATAGTAATAACAAGACAACACATAAAATACTTGCCTAGTTAAGAAATTGGCCGTGTTTATCCACAGTGATGCAGTAGTGTAAGTGTGCTTTCACATACTGTGTAAAATCAGTCTCATGTGCTCCTTGTACAGTCTTCATCAGGTAATGTCTGTTGGTATAGTTCCAAGAAATGCATGTAATTTTTCTGTTATAAGATATTGTCTTTTTCTGAAATCCTTGTATTTCGGCACATCTAGTTTATAACAGCAGTTCATTCACACTGATGAATTTCAGATTTTTTTATTTGCTTTCTGAAAAAAAAAAAAGGAATGATTAGCTGATGTTCAGAATAAGGAGAAAAGTCAGAGAATAAACATCTGTTGCATACCTGCTTTGTTCCAGGTTGCTTGCCCTCTGTCATAAATACTTTGATTAAAACAAATTCTTATGACCATGTAGTACTTTCGTCCACCTTGGTCCCACTGTCATATTTACTACTACTCTGTCCTGAGCTCTTCTCAGGAGAATGGCTGTGAGCGCTCCCCCTGTCCTAATGGGGCTGCAGGGGAGGTAGACAGGAATGTTTCCGGTGTGCATTTTTGGGGAAAATGTTTCTTTATCCTGTGGTTGCCTTGATGCTTAAATATCTGACCCAAGACCAGGTGTCCATCTCATTGGAATCTTGTTTATCCCGGCAAATGTCCCGTGGCTCTGGTCTGACCTTTGTCCTGATTATTCCTACTGAAATAGCCACTCTCTTAAAGAGCCCTGACCAGGAAAGTTTCAAGTGTGTTAGGTGAGACACTCAGGACCTGTACATTCAGCCAGAGTCTGGGGAGCAAGAGAGAGGGAGCTGAGGGCCAGAGCCTTTGTTGGAGTCTAGGATGTTACCAGTGGGATGTTACCAGTGGGATGTTACCAGAGGGGATCCTGAGGGGAGATGCAACTGGTGAGGTTAGAGAGCAAGAGGGCCCAAGTTATATAGAGTCAAACTGTAACTAGGAGGCAGCCCCTGTGACATCCCTACATAGTCCATGCTAGGGCGTGAGAATCACTGGGGTCAGTCATTGTGTGTTGCTACCCACAGGGAGGCAGTCACTAGGAGGCCACAGCTGGGAACTGGGAAGAGGTAGAGAACAGGTAACAGTGTCAAGGCTGACTGAGTCCTGAGTGACAAAGTTAAACCTTTGCTCAAGATGGATGCAAAGGCAACACAAAATCACAGGAATTTTTTAAAAGATTTATTTATTTATTTAAAAGGCAGACTTCCAGTGAGAGAGAGAGAGAGAGATCTTCTATCTGCTGGTTCACTTCCCCCGAGATGGCTGCAATGGCCAGAGCTGGGTTGATCAAAAGCCAGGAGCCAGGAGCTTCTTTCAGGTCCCCCACATGGGTGCAGGGGCCCAAGGACTTGGGCCATCTTCTACTGCTTTCCCAGGTGCTAATTTAGCAGGGCACTGGATTGGAAATGGAGCGGCTGGGACTTGAACTGGTTCTTGTATGGGATGCTGATGCTGGAGGCAGCAGCTTTTACCCACTAAGCCACAGCGCCAGCTGTAAAATCATGGGATTTTACTACCCCCATTTTGGTGAGAGAATACTTAGTACTTTGCAAAATCACTCAGCCAATAAGTGTTGGTACTGAGATTTCAACTTGCATTTCAGTGATTGAAAACTCTTTAGTGTTATATTAACCCACACTTTTATCTATTAAGATTTTAAAGTCAATATTCTTACTTCACCATTTTTTGAAATTGATAATCCATTACTTATATTATTATTTAATCCATTGTCAAGGAAAATTACCTTTTCCAATCTTCCAATCTCACTTGGCTAGAAAATACTTTAAAATTCAACTTATTTAAGAAATACAATACAGACTTTTCATTCATTCTTTTCCTTTCCAGCTATTGCTATAGAAAAATATACAAAATAGAATCTTAAGTTGCTTACTAATATTTCTTACTGTCTGTTCTGTGCAGACCTGCAGGTACATATATCACCTGCAAGTACATACTCTAACTTTCGCTTGGTGATGTTATCTTACAGAGGGTGAGCTTGAAGCAGAGTGGTTGCAAGACGTGGGCTTATCAACTCTGATCTCAGGCGATGAAGAGGAAGATGGAAAAGCCTTGCTCTCTACGTTGACTCGGACCCAAGCAGCTGCAGTGAAAAAGAGATATAACACCTATACTCAGACCATGAGGAAAAAGAATAAGCACTCTGTCAGAGACGTCAGAGACATCTTTGGAGCCAGTGAATCTCCTGTAAGTAATGTACATGCTTCAAAAGGTGTTTGCTTTCATTTTTGCTGGGGGTGTTGGGTGGGGGGCTGGGATGGAAGAAGTATTGGAAACGGCTGGGTCCATTCTAGGTTTCATATAAAAGCTAGATAGCATTGTGCAAAACTGTACAGATCTAGACGTAAGCTGGCCATCTGTATCCTCCATACCGCAATCTCTCCCTCCATACCTAAGGTATTGCCCTTCTTTGTTGATACCGGTGATTTAGGTTCATCTTCCATTTATTTATAATATCAAGAATGACATCAAGCTTGAAGGGTATTGGGTAGAAATCACAGTTGAAGACAGTCTCCAATTTTGGTTACTTTAGGTTGTCTGTAGGTTGTTCCTTCTCTTAGGTGTGTTCATTGCACTGGGCAGTTGTCAGGACAGCCCACATAGCTCCAGTTCACCTTTGCATCTCTACTAATAGTGTCCTCGCACCGCACTATCCTTCAGAACTTCATGCAGTGATGGAAACGATGCATTCCTTTGTTGTCCAGTATTGGAGCCCCCAGTCATATTGTGGCTACCAGCACTTAAACGTGGCTAATGTAGGAATGGGATTTTAAATTTTGTTTCATCTTACTTTATTTGAATCTAAATAGTCACAGCTTAAGTCTTGAACAACATAGTTCCAGAGTCTTCTGCCATATGTGTTATACCCTGAGCTAAGTGTAATGAGTTTAAACTTCTGGCATAGTCGAAACCTTTCTGCATGGTTTTGGTTTCCTCTGTAGCTATGATTGAGTAAAGGTGACTCCCACAACTTTAGTCAAAGACATCAGCTACAGGTATCCTAGCCAAGATGCCTATCAAAGAAAGGCTTGTCCTGCCAGCTTAAATGTCCTTCTGGGTTGTTTTTTCAGTTGTCTCTAGGATCAGCTTGAACAGATCCTAAAAACTTTGTCTACCTGCTTCCTTTTCCACTTCTCTTTCTAGCTACTTTGGACTGAGGTTTTTGTTCTTCTCTTTAGCAAAATGTGAAAAGAGCAGGACTACAGGTTGTTTTGTTGTTGTTTCCTGAATCTTCCAGTTGCTCATCAGATTAACAGCTGCCCATTTCAGGCTTCCTAAAGCTTTGAACTTCCAGTAATATATAAAAGTGGCACGCTAGGAGTAGGTATTTAGCTTGGTTCGCAGTGAAGATGTGTGTGTCCCACAGTCAAATACCCAACTTCAGTTTCTAGCTCTGGCTCCTGGCCGCCTTTTCCTGCCATTGCAGATCCATGGAGCATTTGGGATGGCTCAAGTAATTGAGTCCTGCCACTATGTATGAGACTTGGATTGAGTACCTAGTTCCCAGCATTGTCCCAACCCCAGCCAAGTCCTGGCTGTTGTGAGCACTTAGGCAGTAAACCAGTGGATGAGAACTTTCCCTCTGTCTGTCTCTCTGTCTGTGTTTCTCTGTCACATGTGCATGCTCACTTTCTCTCTGCCTCTCAAGTAAATAAGAACATAAAATAGAAGATAAAAAATTTTTGTGTAGGATTCTCGATTTCAGTTGATGCGTAAGCTGTACATATTTATGGAGTGTTAGGTGCTATTTCAATACAGACATACACTGTATAAAGTTCAAATCAGGGTAAGCATTTCTCCTCAAACATGTATTATTTCTTTGTATTGAAGACATTAATAATTCTTTCTTCTAATTTTGTTTGTTTGTTTTAAACCTAGAAGGGGAAGATAAAATGGGCACTTACTCATTGAGTCTTTTTTTTAAGATTTATTTAAATATTTGAAAGGCAGAGTGACAGAGAGAGAGAGGGAGACACACACACACACACACATGCACACACATGGGGAAAGAGAGAGAGAGAGGGAGAGGGAAAAAGGGAGAAAGGGAGAGGGAGATCTGCCGTCCAATGGTTCTCTCCTCCAATGGCTGTGACAGCTGGGGATGGGCCTGGTTCCAATAAGGGATGCTTCATGTCAGAAATGATGGCTTGGCTGGCGCCGCGGCTCACTAGGCTAATCCTCCACCTGCAGTGCCGGCACACTGGGTTCTAGTCCCGGTCAGGGCGCCAGATTCTGTCCCGGTTGCTCCTCTTCCTGTCCAGCTCTCTGTTGTGGCCCAGGAGTGCAGTGGAGGATGGCCCAAGTCCTTGGGCCCTGCACCGCATGGGAGACCAGGAGAAGCACCTGGTGCCTGGCTTTGGATCAGCACGGTGTGCAGCCACTGGGGGGTGAACCAACGGAAAAAGGAAGACCTTCCTCTCTTGTCTCTCTCCCTCACTGTCCACTCGGCCTGTCAAAAAGAAAAAAAAAGAAGTGATGGCTTCACCCACTGCAGCACAATTCCAGTCCCACTCATCAAGCCTTTAAGTATAAAAATAAATGATTCTTCTCTTGTTTCTCGGAGAGATGCAGGTGCAGTCAAATACTGGGCATCAGCTCCAGGAAGCGCAGAGAGAGGGCCTAGGTGGGCACATTTGAACGGCCTGGGTCTCTGCTGTTCACCTACCTTCTCTCTCCATGCAGTCTTCCTAGGGAACCCCCATTTCTGGAGTGAAGTGAGGGAGAACTAAGGCAGAGACCTGGTCTGATACAAAGGACTGACCACATATTCCAAGGAATAGAAAGATACTATAACCAATGCCATCTCACTAGTCAAAGTGATCAGTTTCAGTTCATAATTGATCTTAATGAGAGGATTAAGTGTCAAAGGGATCACATAAACAAGACTAGTGTCTGCTAATACTAACTGATAGAATTAAAAAGGAGAGAATGATCCAACATGGGAAGCGGGATACACAGCAGACTCATAGAATGGCAGATGCCCTAAATAGCACTCTGGCCTCAGAATCAGCCCTTAAGGCATTTGGCTCTGGCTAAAAAGCCCATGAGAGTTTCTCAGGCGTGGAAAGCCAAGACACTGTGGTTAAAAAAAAAAAAAAAAAAGCCTAAATGAAAGTTCTCTGTGGGGGAGATCCCAGTGGAAAGAACGGGCCATCAAAGAAGGAGGTACCTTTTTCTGAAGGGAGGAGAGAACTTCTACTTTGACTATGACCTTGTCTAAATAAGATCAGAATTGGCGAACTCAAGAGGCTTCCATAGCCTTGGCAACTCATGACAAGAGCCTCAGGTGATTACTGATGTCATAAATAAGAGTGTCAGTTTTAAATCAACAATGGGAGTCACTGTGCACTTACTCCCCATGTAGTATCTCTGTCCTTGATGTGTTGTGCTATGTGAATTAATGGTATAACTAGCACTCAAACAGTACTTTATACTTTGTGTTTCTGTGTGGGTGCAAACTGTTGAAATCTTTACTTAGTATATACTAAATTGATCTTCTGTATATAAAGATAATTGAAAATGCATCTTGATGGAGAATGTGATGGGAGAGGGAGTGGGAGATGGAATGCAGGTGGGAGGGTGGTTATGGAGGGAAAAAGCCACCATAATCCAAAAGTTGTACTTTGGAAATTTATATCTATTAAATAAAAGTTAAAATAAAGATACTATAGTACTCTGGGAAATTGGGTACCTAGAGAAATAAAAGCCTGGCTGCTTAAAAAATTTAAATTGTTCCTCATCAGAAAAATGAAAAAGACATATAAACTTCCTATTTAAAAATGCTGCATTTACAGTATATCAAACCTAATAGGCATCTTCACAGATTTTTCTTCTCTAAAAAATTTCACAGCTATTTCTGCAAGTAAAGAAATGTTTTCAGTTTCCTGTTGAAGTTTGACCGCATGAGCACCAGTTCCTCCCTCGCTCTTTCTCTGGCTCTGTGTCTCTGTCCTGGTCTCTGTGTGTGTGTGCCGCTGCTATCTCTTCTTCCTCTCCTGCTTTTTCTCTTCGTCATCCTCCTCTTTCTTCCTCCTCCTCCTCTTCTTTCTTCTTGTTCTTCTCCAATACTCTGTCTGACTGATTTCTCTCTCATCCTTTTCTACTCTGGATATATTTCTTTGGTATCAAATTTTCCATTTCACTTAATGGAAACTTAACATAAATTTCATAAGGAGATTTTGTATTAATCCTAGACATAGGAATTTGACCCAGCATGATTATCTAGTAAGGATATAAATTTAATCATTTAAAAAAGATATGTAGGCTATATTGGTCATTTTCTTCTTTTTATAAACATAAAATTCCATGCTCAAATGACTTTCCTTCAGAATATATGTGTGTGTGTGTGTGTGTGTGTGTGTGTGTGTGTTCTGCCTTCCTGGATATCAACCCCATTTATTATGTCAGTAGTTTGGTCATTGTGGCATCAGCATTTACTCTTTTCATTAATTATTAAAAATTCGGAAATCCTGTTGCTAATTTACTGAAGTCCCTCTTTTTCCCTCATTCTTCTGTTATTACAGCAGTCTGTTCTTGTTTCTTAGTGGCCAGAGTTTCTCAGCACTGTGGAGGTGCTAATTTTAAACTGTAAACTCCAAAGCTCTCTCTTTTCCCTCAGGGCCATTCATTTATTTTAAGCCTCATTGCTTTTCTTTCCCATTGCTATTGGTCAATAAACTGATTTATATTTATAAATGGAGAACTACATTGATTTCTTGATTCTTAGAGTACGTTAGTCAGATTTTTGGTGCTACTGTGAAATACCCGAGACGAGCTACTTACCAAGGAAGGAGAAGTTTAGTTTGGCTCATGGTTCTGGAGGTCCCCTTAGTCCAGGACTGGACGGGTCTCATTGGTTTAGCCTCTGGTGTTGGCATTCTTGCAGCACAGAACACTGCGTGACCGGAGGGAGTGCCTGCGTCCGTGTCTATGTCTCTGTCTGTATCTGTGTCTATGTCCTGTTCTCTTGTAATACCACCAGAACTTCACCTGGGGTCTCCACCCTGACAACTCAGTGTACTCCAAACATCTCTCCAAGGCCCCGTGTCTAAACACCATAAATAGATGAAGTTCTACCCTAGTACCACTAACATGATACTTTTGGGATCAAGCCTTTAACACATGAGCCTTTTTTGGGAAATCTAACATTCAATATAATAGCAAAACAATAGTATCTAGGTCATGAC